CCCCAAAACCCCAAAACCCCATAGAGTTGAGATTTATAAAATATTCACTAAATATATAATTATTGGGCATCAAAATAAACTATTTAATATGGATAAAATTGTAAATTATAAGTAGGCCGCCTCTGTAACTGCCTTCGAGACTGAGGATATTCCAACTCTTGTTTAAGAACTCAAGAAATTGTTAAATGATGAGTTCCCTTGTTTTGTGTATTTCTAGAAAGAGTTTGAGAAGTAGGTTAAGTTACTATAATAGAGCTTCCCCGATGCAAGCATAAGATTTGCAATGAAGGCGAACTCAAACAAAAGTGTGCTGAAACTATTTGAGATGAATGGTTTGCACTTTGACTGCAGCTCTGTTTATGAAGTTTAAAGAGTGATAAGTGCGGGTATTGATGCATCTAAGATAGAGTTAGTTTCTTAGGAAATTACTCAGAAATCTTTATCATATCTATCGAAATTAGAGGGTTGTGAAAAGCTTAGAATAATTGCAAGCTCTTCTAAATAGCTTGAATTACTTGGCAAATCTTAATTTAAGAATCAAGTCTAAGGTATCAGGATTAATCCTGGAGAAGGATCTGGTGCCAGTCTAAAGACCATTGTCTCTGGTCCAAGATACAGCTTTGGAATCTGGTTTGAGCAAATTGATTCGATAATCTAAAAGGCTGATGAACTTGGAATTAAAATCAAGACTGTTCACTCTCATATTGGTGCTGGCACTGATCCAAATAATTGGCTCGAAATCGCTGAGATTCAGTTAAAGCTAATTGAAGAAAAGTTCAGAGATGTGGTAATAGTAAACCTTGGAGGAGGGTTTAAGATATCCAGAAATGATAGTGAGCTAGAGACAAATGTATCTCTACTAGGATAGGCTATAGTACAAAAGATTCAGAATTTTAAGAAGAAGACTGGCAGAGATCTCAAGCTTGAAATCGAGCCAGGCATTTTTCTCACTGCCAATTCTGGTATACTTATCACGGAGATAGTAGATATTGTTAGCACAGAGAATAATACACATGAGGAGCAAGGATTCAAGTTTCCTAAAGTTGACTCTGGCTTAAATGACATCATAAGACCATCCCTTTACGGATCAAGACATCAAATAAAAGCTGTATCTTTAAACAAGCCTGAAAAATCTGCTCACACAGAAATGTGTGTAGTTGTTGGCCATTGCTGTGAAAGTGGAGACTTGATTACATGCAAGCCTGGGGAGAGTGAAATCCCTGAACCTATACCATTGTTAGATCCTCAAATAGGAGACTATCTCGCAATTAAAGGTACAGGCGCCTATTGCTCATCGATGAGCTTGAAGAATTACAATTCATTCCCAGAGATTAGTGAAGTCATGGTAACTTCAAATAATGAGATTAAGATTATTAGAGATAGATAAGATGCTCTTGCTATTTCAAAGAATGAATTCTAGATATATTGATTTGAATTATTACATCATTTATGCTATCGATTAATTTGCAACCATTTTGCTTTCAGGGGTTTTGGGGTTTTGGGG